CAACATCACTTTTTGTTTGGAATTTCAATTAGGGTTGAAGCGAGAGATATGCTTAGAATGAGTGAGGAATAAAAATTGATGTTGAGGGTTGAAAATATTTAATCGAGAATCAAAAATGGCGGATTGCTAATTTTGAGCTTCATTCTCTATTCTGTCTGTTATATTAATTTCAAAAGTGTATTGAGGATGAGTTCGAGTGCCTAATGTATAAACACTTCAGCAAAAACTGTAATTTTATATGAAAATTCGCAATGCATCTGGCTACTCTCCAGAGTTATTATTACAAATGGAAAAGAGGTAATAAAATTATATATTTTTACACTTAAAACATTCGAATTAAACAAATATTGGAGATATTTTTTAAAGAAAAGAAAATTAATTAATGGATGTATTAACAATTTCCTGGTCGTTTTCTATAACAAAATTTATTTACATTTCATTCTTTCTTCAATAAATTTCTTTCAACGAATTTCAAATCTCTTCAATCAAATGCATCCACAATAATAGATGCTTAGCTTCTTTTTTTCGTTTGCGATAAACCATTTTGAAGCATTTTGTTTGGTGTTGCATTGTTCCGACTAGTCGAACAAATCATATTAAGAATCTTTGAATCTTTGAATCATTGAATCTTAGAAATTTGTTAAAACTTATATCCTAATTTAATATACAAAAATTTGATATTTGAATTCACGATTGATTAAATTTTGACTTGAAAAATGCTTCATAGCCACTAGTTCCAAACCGTTAAACGGTAGAACAATAATTTCCCATCTCGATTGTTTTTCACTCATCACGAAAACAACACGAAAAATGTTTCTTGACACAGGGAATCATAAGTACACAAACAATTGTTTCCTATATCAATACTTTCTTTCCATTCTCAAAAACGAGGATGTGAATGAAATGATCACGTAAAGTGTTAATAACTGATTCAGTCATGGAAGCAGAGAAATCGAATTGCGACTGCAAATTTGCAATGTGCATTATAATAAGAACATCACTTTCAATGTCATTTGCATAATTAATGAATTTAAACTGAGGAAAAATATCATCATCATCATCTCATGAATAATTGCATACGGTGCCAAATGTAAACAATCAAGTGCGTTTACCGGAATGAAAAATCACAATGATATTCTTAAATTACAAAATTACTTTTCATTGCATTACGAATGGATTTGTGTGCAGTATGAATTGTGGAATTTTGAGGCTATTTGTAGTTCTGTTTTAGTTGATGAGTAATGGATTGAAATATAATGCGAAAATGGTAGTTTGGATTAATTAATTGTTGGAGTTAGAATGCAATAATTATGGGACAGGAGATGATGGAGATTATCCAAGCTTTTTTTGTTATTAAGACACGATTTAAATTAGCTCAAATGAGTCCTTGCTAAACGGAATAGAATTTCGGTTCCTAGATATTGCAGCTTTAAGAAAACTCTCCTAGTTTTAGATACAAAGATATCGCTTGTTTTGTAGACTTTATACAGTAATGTAGTCTTAGTAACTGTTCAGTTCGATAAAATTCTAATTCAATAAAATATCATTTTAATCATGAACCATTGCCAAGCTATAATATACTTCCAAGATTCAGCACAACAAAATGAATCCTTTTACATACAAAAATCGACTTTATTATTTACCAATTTCCTAAAAGCTACCCTGCCTATCCAACCCCAAAGAAATGCTTGTGTGTTTGAACTGCAAATTACATCCAAAATTAAACAATTTCAAAGTACTTCAAAATATGAATGTATAGCCGCATAGAGAAAAGAAGAAAGTACCTAAATTTTTAAAACAGCATCAACTCCCCTCAATATTTACATTCATGAAACTCATAAAAACTCAATCTATTTGCCAGATAGATTATAAAGTCTCTCAGCAAATTTTATGAAGTGTCAAATGATAAATATTTGATCGTAAATTAACAGTCAAAAACGAAGTTTATTTATCACTTAAAGTAATCTTCTTTTAAGTGACAATATAGAGGAAATTAACAAATCACCACGTATGGAAATAAAAAAGAATTTTCAGTGAAATTGTAAATCTATCGAGAAGTAGAAAAAAAAGTGACAGGAGAAGAAAGAGGAATAAAAAGTTATGAAAGTAATAGGCAGAAGAAGATGAATCATAATTTTTTTTTATTCTTTCTCTCTTTGATCTCGATGACTGAGCTAGTTGATATGAAGCTTCTTTTTCATATATGCGGAAAAATCCGTTTTGGCTTTGATGATTTCTTTGAGCTTCTGGTTGTTATATCCAATCAAGCAAACAATAAACAAAGTGATTTTAATCTGTTGATCACTGGGCTCCATGCAATGATTTAATAATTTTTTTTTCATCTCTTCTTCATCACTTTTTATGAATGATGTTTTATTTTTTTGGTACCGAACTGTGAATGATTGATATGTAGGAGCACGAGCTATAGATTGATGGTTCGTAATGTTTAGCATTGTTATATCCTTCTGCATATAATTACGATTTATTTTAACCTAGTAAGTTCAACCTAGTTATTATAACCTAGCAAATACAACCTAGTAAGTAAAACCTAGTAATGACAACATAAGATGTTTAACCTTGGAATAGTTTCACACAGGCTAAGATAGTATTACATCCTTCAAAATGTGTCAATTCAAAGTTCAGGGTTGTAGAGATTAAAGGAAGTAGATTTAGAAATCCTAGCAATTACAAATAAAAGTTTAACCATCCATCAAATCATATACAAAGAAAATACTACAGCTAGTTTGCTACTCGGGTCAATAAGCTGCTGAAATATAAAACTGATAAATTGTGATGTTTATACAAAAATAAAAATATGAGTTCGTTTAAATCAATTTTTTATGCAGTTTTAAAATTCATTATATTTCAATATATCAATTTTTATCAGCTATTTGCATGTGTTGATTTTGATTTAATTTTCTTTTACAATAACTTTTTTTATTTTTTATTATTAATATTAAAATTTAATAAATTTTTTGTTGAGAAAATTGAGATAAATCACTTAATTATTCATTCATTTCATATTTTTTCATTCATTTTTTAAAATTAGCCTAAATTATCAACATACAGAGACATTCAAAAGATTTTTTTAAACTTCTTCGTTTTATGAAAAAATTATTTACATTTTATAATTTCTTTTTTAGATTGCCTTAAAATAATCTCATCTTTATATCTGTGGATTAAAATTAAGTATTTAATATCAAAAGGAATGAGTTTATTATTGCATGTAAAATATGTGTCACGGCATATGAAATGAGTTTTCTCCTGAATAATTGCTAGACTTTACACTTGGGAGTTTCTCTCTGATCCACAAACAGTTTAATTTGAAATAATTTTATAAATCTTTTGTCAAAAAATGCTGAAACTTAAGATCAAATTTGAAAACTAGATTTAGGTTTGTCAACTTTTGATCCACAGATTCGATCCAAAAGACTGTCAAAAAGTACCAAATTTTGTGTAAATGAGAAATCCGTCCCAATACTTTCATCAATATAGCTGAATATCAGAACTTATTAAGCTCTGCTCAATAAAGTAGGAAAACTACTCTAAAAACCATCTTAAATAATGAAATTAGTCATTTGTTAAGTCTGAGCCTTAAATTCAATATGCTTTCCCGATGACGAAATCGAGACCGAGACTTCCCGGGAAGTCTCGGTCTCGATCTCGTCTCGGTCTCGAGAATTTTCCGAGACCGAGACCCGAGACTAGAGAAGAAAAAAATTTAAGTAAAAATGATAATTTTAGAATTTTTCCCATCACAGTTTGTAGTTAATCTTACAGTTAGGGTAAATGACCTTGAAATTTGCGCATTTTCACACATGAAATTTTCATTTGCTTCAATCTCTTCGGAGGTATGGGATTTTTTCTCTTTTTGTATGGGATTTTTCGGGTGCAAATTATTGAGCTTCCTAATGGTTTAATATCACTAAAATTTAAATCAGCTGTATAATGCACTGCTAAGCATTCAACCAACATCTACCCAGAGTGAACGTAATTTTTCAATCAGCAATAATGTTTTGACCAAGCAAAGGAAGCGATTGCTTAACAAAAACTTAAATGCTATCGTTTTTGTGAAAAGTCATTTCCAAAACCCAGAATAGTTTTAATAGGGACACACTTTCTTATCATTATGCTTTTCTTTTATCATTACGTATTTCGTATTTCTTTTATATTTTATAATAGTATTAAGACAATAAAATTAGTTTGACTGATCGCATAACAAGGAATATATCCAGAAGTTCAATAACAAATAGACGTAATCTACATGTTCTAAGTGATTTTTAATTACTTTCAGCGAAATTTTAAGTAGTTTTTAAAGTCGAGACTTCCCGGGAATTCCCGGGAAGTCTCGGTCTCGGTCTCGGTCTCGAGAATTTGTCGAGACCGAGAAATCGAGAAAGCTTAAAATTCAAGAGTGATTCTTTGCTATTAACATCTACGAGCTCGATTTCTATAGAATTTGACCAGCTTAACTGAAGTATATTCATAAATTAGTTATGAAAAGATCAAATGACTCAAATTAACAGTATTTTGCAAACAAAAGATTAAATATATTTCAAAATTCTTTGAGATTATTCACAAAAAGCGTCAAACTTTTAGAAAAAGTAAGTAGTTCTAAAGCTGTGTCACACAAAATGTTCAATCTTACAATTTTTGAAAAACTTTCGAAAACCCATTTTCATCTGCCGCTTTAATTTATTTTTGGATCCTTCACTAATACACTACTTTGTTGCTATCCTCAGCGATCCACAGATTTATCTCATCCACTAAGGAGATCAATTAATATTTTAATTAAATTGCCTACAATCTATTCATATATTCAAGAGAAAAGATCAGCATTGAAAATATATTTTTACTTGAATTATTCAGTCAAAAAAATATGAAGTAAGAAATGAAAAATGCTATTGCGATAAATCGTCCATCCGTCGGAACATGCTTTACTTTCATCAGTTCCTGATTTTCATTAAATTTTTTTTAACCTTTAATCACAAAATATTTCGTGCATTAATTTAAATTTTCTCACTCTAAATTGTTTGAAGCTTCGATTCACAACTATATGGAGCTAGACATTTTTAGTATTTCCACAAAAAAAAAACCTTGTCACTCTCATAATTTACTTGTAACTTCACTTGCTAATTTTTTTAATTATTTTAAACTCCATACTTAATTCCACAATCTTGATAACCATAACTATGTAATGGATAGTGATGATGCTGTCTATAATGATGATGACTCATATTACTCGTCACATTTCCATTCCACTTTGGACTCAAATGATGATGATGATTAACAGATGATGGAGGAACATTTGTGATGGGTGGACTTGATGAATTGATGCTGTTCGTTGGACTACTTCCGGTTTCCATATGACAGTTGTTTTGATTATGATTATGATCAAATAACATATTTCTAAAGCCACCCGAGTTGTTGGAGCTGATATTATTCGATGAAGTGGATGTTGGAGGAAGTGAGAGAACACTATTGGCAATATTAGCTGAGCTACTTCCACCCGATGTATTATTTCCATTTATTGAATCGGGTGGTGTATCTGGTGCACTTGGTGCATACCAACTATGAACTGAAGATGCAGCAGTCGGGTGATGTCGAAGTTGAGCTGCCGATGGATTCATAATATTCTCATCATTAAAATGATATGCATAAGATGACGGATGTAATCGCGGATTATAAGCATTCATTAGTGAGTCTACTGTAAAGTTATGTTCACCGCCTTGTAAATGATTCATCTGAGATGCTAGCGAGTCATGGCACGTATTTATAATCGTCGCTCCTGACAGTCCATCTTTTGCCATACATTGAGTTAAATCGATTCCTGGCTCACGTTTCAGTTGATGTGTAAACTGTTTTGTGTCTAACATCGTCGAAGATGACATAAGCTTAATTGGCTTGATGTCTGTCATTTTGTCATCGAGCATCATGGTTTGTCTTTTGATTTGATCTTCTTTCTCTTTAAGTGCATCTTTCTTCTTAAAACGTCGTCGTCGTCGCAAAAATGATCCATTATCGAACATATTATAGGAGTCTGGGTCTAGCGTCCAATAACTTCCTTTGCCAGGTTTCTTGTCGTCTCGTGGCACTTTTACAAAACATTCATTTAAACTCAAATTATGACGAATTGAATTTTGCCAACCTATTTTTATGAGAAGTGAAAAAGAAGATTTGTTAGGAACAAAAGTTGTTGAATATTAAGTAGACTTCTTTACCTTGCTTGTTGTCTCTGTTTGTGGTCGAATGAAAATGATGAGCATTGATGGAAAAGAAAGAAGAAAAATTTAATTAGAAGATTTTAATTAAAAGTAAACAATGAATAAAGGCAATGATCTTCTTGTGATATTTAAACTTTTCGTACTTTTAGAGTACTTTTGGCATATCCAAAAATATCAATTATAAATTATTCTAATTTATTCTCAATTGCTTTTGTTCGTTCACTTACCTATAATAAGGAAATCTGTCCATAATATACTGATAAATTCCATTCAGTGTAATTTTCTTATCAGTTGCGTTTTGAACGGCCATAGCTGGATATAACAGGATATAAGAAGAAAATATAATTTAGTGACTTATTGACTTATTGTTCAAAATAATGTTTAATTTCCTTAATAGATTTAAAAATTGCAAAAATCAGTTTCTAGCATTTCTCAAAAAAGATTTGACTTAAATTCTTAAAAGATGTCATAAAAGCAAAAGGATGAAGCTCTAAACATTACAAAAACTTCCGCCCTTTTACCTAAACAACAACAAAAAAATTAATAAATGGGCGTATCACTTCCATATCGGTACCTAGATCTACCTAGATAAATTTTTGAATGAATTCACAGCTCTTTTAGGATATACTTAGACACCTAATAAAGAAAATGAAGTACCTAAACATCATAAAAAAAATTCATACACTTAAAGGTCATTATTATCATTTTTGTAAACTTAAAAAGGGTTTTGAGATTCATTCATAAATTTCAACGATTATTGCTTCTGACACTCTTAACAAAAGGGCGTAATTTGAATGGAAAGTTTTAAAAAAAGTCGATTTATTAAATGAAGGCTTCTGGAAGAAAGTCATGTGATTGATGGAATTAAAGAAACAAATGCAATTTCTTTAATAATACCAGTGCACCTAATAATTGATATTGATAATAAATTGACTTCAAAATAGCTAAGTGAAGACTAATTCTTTCGAAAAAGCCAATTTAATAGTTAAATTGATTGCCAAAGTAAAACTTGATCAAATTTTATTTGACATTTTAAATTCTTATCGATCGAAAATTCAACTTTAAGTTTTTATCCATAAGATGATTAATATTTAGATTTTTATTCCGTTTTATAATTTATAAATTGAAGATGTTAAAAACAATTTGGAACTTAAATTCTCAAAATCATTTTTAAAAAGATTTAAAACATTTTTATTCATTTTTTTTTTCTTCAAAATTTAAACTACAATCTCTCTAGCTGTGTCATTTTACTGTTTATGATTTGTGGTCAATTTGTTTGATCTTATAATACAAGGCATTAAAACTAAAATGAATCGAATCAAACAACAAATTTAACAAATTGAAGATTAATTCATTTTTAAGGTTAAAAAACTCTTAAATCGTTTTAATCAATAATGTAGGATGCTATTAATGCAACTTAATTTCTTAATAATCTAATCATATAGTTGAAAATTTCAAAACATTTATTTACACATATCGAGATTTTACATTTGTTTGACTTTGTCAAAGGATTTTAAAAATGAAATTGAAATATGCAAAGTAAAAAGTTTTATTCTTCGATTTAAACTTATTTATGTAAGGTTTAAGAAAATGTTTTCCTAATTCATAAATATCAAATAAGAGCTTTGGAAATCTTGGATTTTTTTAACATGCAAAACTTTTAATTCGTGCGGTATTTCAAGAAAAATCTAAAATAATGTAAATGATTCTAGCATTGTTCAAATCAAAATCGTTACAAACTGTAAAGTTACTTTGAGAATCTTGTTCGTCAATGAACATGGATTAAATGTTTACTATTTTTTGCAACCCGAATCATTAAGAAATCATCAAATTCAACTTACCAATAAGTGCAATATAGCTATATGGAGGCTTGACCATTTCTTTACTTTGATGAGGTGCTGATAATCCATAAGCAGATCCAGCATAATATCTTGTATATTGATCATAGGGATAATGCCCTGTTCCACTTGTATTAGGTGGATATGGTGTCTGTCCATAGTGTCTAAACGAAGTTTGATCCGTAAATAGCGTATGCATTTTTTTTTTTCGAGATTTACAATTTTTATTTAAAAAATTATTTTTTCGTCACTTTCTGTCTATATTTTCTTAATGTATCTTCTTCTTTCACTAGATAAACGTTTCTCCTTGCTGCCAAGAAAAACTTTTTCACTTTGCAGTCAATAAATTTTCAGTTCCACATTTATTTTTAAAACTAGATGTTAATTTGTCAATTCTATTTCACTCATTTGTCTTGTCCATAATGTACACAATAATTGAATTAATTCCTTTCCATTGATCTTCACCGAGATTTACAAATTCACGTTTTTTTATTCAGTTATGTCTTATTTGTTCAGAAAACAATTTGCAGCCGCTTTTTATGTTCACTTGGCATCGTCTGAATGACTTTGTTATTTCATAAAATATTTTCGCTGCTAAATAGCAAAATATTTTCCTAACGACTCTGATTTCGTCAGGCGCGTACAATTTTATTCTTTTTTTGCTGTTGCAAATGTTGTGGATGTATATAAGGATAGAAATTTTTTTTTCATGTGATATTTTAACACCTTTTTTGTCTTTCTTTCACACGTCACGCGAGCAAAAAGCTTACTACTGCTCTCTTTTTTATCGTCGTTGCTTTATTTCTTTTTTTTTTATAAAAACAGAACCGACAGCATCGAGTGCGAGTGATCGTAACGAAAATCAAAAATAAAATAAACTCTATGGTGAAAAAACTCCGTAACTCATTTGATGCTTTTTTTTTGTTGCCTGCTTATTTCTCTTCCTTTCCCTTTTTCTCCATCCATTCATTGAAACAGACACAAAATCATTCCATCTCTTACACACTAATAGAATATGATGCCTGATCATTGAGAACGACTAATAATAGAATCAATACAACTGTCCTTTTCACACATGCATACTTTAGATTGTATATACACAACCACAAATGCTTTGCTACTTGCTACTACGGACAAATATAATGTTAGAGATGCGCATGGGTGATGATAATGTTTGATAACAATAGCTTGCCTGCGATGGGTGTTAATTTACATATCGTGGCGTCTTTGGTGCTACGTTTACACAATTTACACATTTATCAATTTTCATAACGCAAAGAGTTCAACATACAACCCTTTTTTCTCACCAATACACGACTCCTTTATATGCCAATTTTCTTATATTTATAAATTATGGAATTTAAGAGCGCGTGGAATTGACTGGAAGTTTTTAAATATTTTTTAATATTTATTTTCTTTACTTTTTAATATAAATATTATTTTATTTTTATATGTTTAAGAGATTTCGGTATTTATTGTGCCGAATGCTGATTTTTCTTTTTTTGGCATACAACATCGATGCAATAAAAAATATGTTTTAGTATCCACTCTTCAGCGGAAGTTTAGATAAAATATGTAGAAACAATATTTATGCCTTGTTGTGTATGAAAACATTTTCGTTGCAATAAATAAGGCTTTCGGACTGAGTTTCTGTTTTATCTTGACGCCTCCAATGCCGTTATGCACACGATTGTTCATAATACTGATACTTTTTAACATAAAATAGCAGATTTGGATTTCTTTTGAATTTGCACGTGTTTACGTAATTTTAAAATTTTTAAACATTTTTTTTCGAATAAAAAGAATAGTAAAACATCTAAACTCACTACAAATGACTTTTGTCAAAAGAAGTATTACTATGAATTTCGCAGTAAAAGATTGAGGATACAATGTCTTAGTTTGGTTATTTAATTGAAAATCTTCGCCAATCTTAATCCAAGAATTTTGCGACTAAATTTGAATTTTTCAGATACTCCTGGTTCACTTTTTGTATACTCAAACAATTGATTCTTGCATCTCTAAACAATTTCCTGACCCAGAGTATGTCAATGCCCTAGGCACAATTTGTGTTGTCGCGATTCATACAAACCGAGTTTTCAAGACTCGAACAGCGAAAAAGCACTCAATTGTGACTGGATATTTCCTGGGATCAAACCAGGGTCGTTAGGGTTGGTTGGTCAACACACTCTTTCGCTGTTTTATAAGCTATACTTTTGCATTGAAAAAATCATTTACAATACAGCTCAATCCCTAGATCCTAGTTCAATTAAACACCAACTAGTCAAGTTGATTAGACTGGAAAAATAATCCTTAATAATTTAAAGAAATTGGCAGTGACACATCCAATATTATTATAGCAATTTGAAGAAACTTTTTATCTTGAAAAGGATGCAACTGCCCACCTGCTCAATTACGCTGACTAGGATATTAGTCGAAGTCGAGTTTGAACTAAATTAAGCCATAAAAACCGAATTTAAATTATTTTATAAGTCAGAAAATTTAACCGCTAATCCTTGCATCATAAAACTCATCTCAACTTCCCCCAAAATTCAAGAAAAAAAAATTCCAAAAAAAATTAAAAATTTTCACGATGAAATGAAAGAGGAAAATAAAAAAAAAAGAAATAAGAAAGTTTCTCGTACACATCTGATGTTTTTCACATCCATCACTTGATGGCTTCAAAATGCGAGAAAATTTTTGCTATACAGAGAAAAAAAATTAAAATTACAAAGTGAAAAGTTTTGCTCCTCATTTTCCCATTAAAAATGCTCGGAGCAAAATTGTAAAATAAAATAAATTCATGGAAAAAAAAATAACTCGTTGAAAATGTAATTAATTCGCTTTTGAGTCATATTCAAAAACAAAAATTTATTTTGATAGAGCGTAAATTAATTAACCCACAAAATTAAGATTCAATTATTTGATATAATTTTAATTAACTCGAAAATAAAATAACCATTTTGAGCGGAATAGATAATAATTAGCTCCTTTTATAGAAGTTGCAACATAAATCTATGCCTAGTTGGCTAGCAGATTGCGGTTAAGATTTAAAGTAACAAATTTTAAATCATAAAAATTCAATAATTCAAAGTTCATTAAAATTTAAAAGTTGTTCAAATTTTGAATTTCAAAGTCAATTAAAAATGAAATGTTTCAAATCAAATAAAATTTGAATTTTTGAAATCTGTTGAATATTAAAATTTCTAAGTCTGTAAAAAATTGAATTTCTAAAATCTTTTAAAATTTTGGAGTCTTCAGTACACAAAAAAATTTTTGTTCAATCTGGAAAGTAATTTCTGCGCTTAAGCCACTCAACCAAAAGCAAAAAAAAATTTTTGTAATGTTTTAATTAAAATATTCAAATTTCGCCATTGAAACAACAAAAGAGTAATTTTCATGGGAACTGTGCAGATCCGTGCAGGTAGTTTATGACAGGAAGCATCATCAATTAATTTCTTTACCTACAGAACCTCCACTTTGCAGACAGAATTCTTAATG